TTCGGGACTCCTTTTAAACTGTTTTCGAGACTTTTCATTTGTTTAAAGATGACGGATGGAATTGTCGGACCTGTAGTTTTGTAATTATCCGGTCTGCTTGTTTTAACAATTCGTATCGACTTCGACTGTTTTGAGATGAAAGTAAATACTTGGCGGGTATATGCTCGTGGAATAAATTTAGGTAAATAGAAGAAGATAAATAGTGTTGCTATGGTGATAAAAGCCCTTAATGTCCATACCCACACATCTTCGGCCACGTCATAACATTCGCCGCCACTCGTCTTACAACAGTTATAATGAACTACCCCAAATCCTAGTTCATTCTTAATTAATACGGAGCACACCTCATCGATGGCGGCCATAGAACTATCGTCCAGTGTGGATGTACTGTTAATTATCCAACTACGAATCAGGGAATACTTCTGCTCCAGGTGCAATGAATTAAGGCAATTGGCGGGAGTTTGTACGATGGGAACATGGAGATCTTTTCTAGTTACAAAGATGAAGGATTCAAATAATCCATAATAGTACAAAAACAACAGCAGAAGACGATTTGACCTCTCACCCCGAATCAAAAACCATCGTGTCGGTTTAAACCAAACAATCTGATTTGATGAACTGGAATAGTTTGTATCGAATCCTGTGATTTCTAGATTCAGCTGAGTTATTTTGACGTCATCTGTTATCAGTGACGCCAGAGTTGCATTCTGTGTGATGCCAAGCGCACAGTTATTTGAGTTAGCTCCCTTAGTACCCTGCAGGCAAACGATTATGATTAGTAGATGGAAACACATAAAAGTCCTGGTCGTCATGATAGACAAATTTAATTTGTTTTAACTTTTTAGAATTTATAAGAATCGCGCGCTAATATTCTAGCGGAATTTAAATAAAACATCTAAAGAATTCTTAATAGTTTCTAAAGTTTCTAAAGTTTCCATATCCCAGACGCGGTGTGATTTTTATTTTATCCAACCACAGCTTCGACCTGATCAAAATTGTCCACAATACATCTTAGATTTTCTTATCTGAAGATTCCATTAATTACCTAATTCAGTTTTATTTTCGTCACCCGTTTAAGATTGTTTGAGATTCTCTTTTTAAAACCTTATCTAGTTATATTTAAAATATTCAACTTTCTACACAACATTAAGAACATGTCCTCTTGTCCCAAAGCGACCACGTATGATGAGAAATATCAATTAATTGTCACATCCAAATTCATTAACTCCAATAATTCACCCATATACTACTATGATACGTTTATCCCAATCTGAACGACAGACTCACCCTACCTGCAGAGAAGTGACTCTGACACAGTGAATAGCCATGATATCCATATGACGTTATCTAAACGTCACAGGTCATGAGGTCACATCAACAAACAAATGTAAACACCATCATTATGATCATTATCAACATTACAAGACACAATGTTAGATTGTAAACAATAGCCTTCTTGCAGCCTTTAGGACTGTATAATCCGTACAGAACGTCTTATCGCTTCTTCCAATGATTTTTCACAAAAATAACATCATCTACAACTCTAGATTTGACGTCGGCATATTATATTGGCACTATTTTGTGATTCGGTCGTGTCTATTTCAGATATACACAATCAATTCTGTTAATGTTTCTAGCGTGGGGATTGACTAAAAGTTAATTTATTTCGGTTCTAAACAAAAATTTAAAACTTTAACGCAATTTAAAAAAAATTGGGATTACTGAGCAAAATGGCCATTCACTGTATACGTGCGAAAAAAAAAGCCAGCTACCATTTAATTTTCGTACATTAGTTACGTACGACGTTTATCCTAGTCTCTTAGTGAAACACATTCTTTTCCTATCCTAGTCTCCCCAGCCGTTAAAATTCCTCTTAATACGTTTTCATAAACAATATCCGAATGTAGATTTCGTTTAATTAACTTCTTTCAATCCTGCCTTTTCAGTCAGTAAAGTTTTCTTCGGATTTCGTTCAGTTAACTTGTTATTTACAACCTGTCTTTCAGTAAAGTTAAAATTTGTTTAAAATCCTGTCGTTTCTGTATTTCTCTCGCTAGAAATTAAATAACCAATCTACAACCCCTTGTATTCACAAATGGAGTATTAACGAGATATTATTCTCAACATGTCTTTCATTGCGACATATATCACAGGGTAAACTTGTTGAACTTGTAACTTAAAGAGACATTCCATCGTAAAAAAGACACACGTTTTTAACGTTGGGTGGACAGCGCGACCATGAACATTTGAAAAAAAAAATACTCCCAATCTCCCAGATATGACATCATTTTACACACCAAAATATTCGAGTGCGTTAAATCCTGGAGGAGTAAGAGAGAGAGAGGGTTGGGGGATAGAGGGGGTGGGGGTAGAGAGAGTAAGGGGTCTTAAACAGTGGGAGTAAACCGGAGGACCCAGAGAAAAACCCAGGATGTTAGACAGACGACCAACGCCAGTTGACTCAATGACAGACCTTATGATAAAACCCGCACGCCCTAAACATTCGGCCATCCAACCCCCAAGGCGCATAGAACAAACTAAAACATGTATTACATTTGTGCGTCCCGATGCGCTATTTTAAGCAACAGAAATCAATTGTAAACTACAATATTGTGAAAGACTACTCTCTTCTAGCAATATCGGCTAAAAAATAGTCGAATTTACGACGATATGTAATATTGAAATTTCATGGATGCATGCTGTAAGCCTGTCGCCATTTTGATATTACTGTTTAAAATCCGATTGAATCCAAGTCGGGACATTATTTGGATTTTCTTTCCTTAAACAGGCTTTACGCAGGAGCTAAATCTGCCCAATGCGGGCCTTTCTTCAGCCCTGTTATATAAACTATTCAATAGACATTTATTAACATGATAAAACCATAATCAACTCTCGGTGCCATCGTATGGGCCCGATTTTAAGTAGATTAGAACGGTTCGGCCATTTAATGATTTAAATTAAAAATGGTGAAGCTAAGCTAAGCCCCGAACAACCGGTACGGTAGTTAAAATCAGTGTACACATCTTGTCAAACCTTCAAAGGCTAATGTCTTCACACAGAAAAAAAAGTAATTCTAATGGAATTTTCAGTATATTCATTTTGCATTATCTATTTTAAAACTATTATAGCAAGAACGACCAGCTCTTTATCTAAATCTTACATAATGTTTCTTTAAAGTTTAATTACATGTTACACAATCCATCTTAGTACATATTTGAGGGGATTAAGCTGTGGGAAATTCGATATATGGCGCATCGTCACTTTGGGTGCCGGTTAAGTCGTCCACAGGCAAACTCGTCCACAGTAAGTCGTCCACAACCATTGGGTAAGTCGTCCACAACTATTGGTCATTGTAATTATTATTACAGCATATTTATAGTGCGCCCTTTCATATCACGTGTTCAGGGTCACTTTACCGTGAGGTGAATTTTGGGAACCGGGTAATATACTTAAGTGTGGACGACTTAAACAATGTATTTTGATATTACTTTAACTCGTAGGGTTTTCTCGTGGTTCACCGATTTTCCCCGACTGTATTACCCACAAGCGTATTATTGAAAAAAAGATTTACCAAAACTTAGTACCGAACTGACGTCTCCCGGAAGTTGGTTTAAACAGTATTTTCATTTTTTGATCATTAAGAATTGTTTTATTATATGGTGTTTAAGCTATGCACGTGCTAGTGGTTGACTGTAGATATAACTATGAACAGCTAAACACCCAACTATAATTACCAATTACTAGTTATATGAACTGTCCAAATACACGGGAAGTGGAATCTGATGTTCTAGAAGGAGTATGCACACCCCGCACAGTGATGTTTCCAATAATGATTCCTCGCTTGTACGTGACAAGGAGTTGGGTCGCCTGTCCAACCTCGTGGGTTTTCTCCGGGTACTTCGGTCCCCCCACCCCCACTGCCAAAGATGCGCAAGTGAATTATTGAAATGAAATTGAACAATATGTTCGTCTCGAAATGACCTAGTTTGTGTCGAGTGGACGTTACCCCAGCTCCTCTCTCTCTCTCTCTCTCTCTCCAAGGAATGAAAAGTGGTATCAGGTGTTCTAGAGAGAACGTGAATACACACGTCTACCATGTCTCGTGCACGGCATCTGTCACTATTTATAGCTAAATCGAGTTTTTCTATTCATCATAATTTCCCATGAATAAACGACTGTGAAGTATATATTATCCACGATTAAACATGGGGTTACCAAGACGAAGATAAACAGTAATAAACGCCCTACCCTAATCAATTATTTAAGGGTATTTCAGTTCTCCCTACTTAATATAAATCAGTATACAGCAATAATAAATGTTTGTTTAACGAATAAATTGGTTGTTAAGAAGACATGATGAAATTCGCCTTTCTTGTAAATGTGTACGTGATTTAATTGTTCAATCGTTGATGTACTGCCATTTTCTACTTCATATGTATACAGGGGGGGTTGGATGGCGGAATGGTTAGCATGCGCGCGCTGTATCATAAAGCCTGTCATTGAGTCGACTGGCGTGGTTTCGAATCCCCGGTTGTACGTGACAAGGAGTAGGGTCGCCTGTCCAACCTCGTGGGTTTTCTCCGGGTCCTCCGGTTTCCTCCCACTGCTAAAGACCCCTATGCGCAAGCGAATTATTGAAATAAAATTAAACCATATGTTAGTCCCGAAATGACCTAGTTGTGTCGAGTGGACGTTAAACCCCATTTCTCTCTCTCTCTCTCTCTCTCTCTCTCATATGTATACAAGCAATTTCAATTGCGTGAATGCACACAATTTCAAGTACGTGTTAGCACACAATTTTAAGTACGTGTATGCACACAATTCCAAGTTGAATACGTTAAATAAATGTATTGCAATCGTGGAAGTTGGGTGACCCAATGGTCTAATGCATTGCGCTTCGAATTATAGGTCTTCAATTCCGGAGCGTTCATTCGATGGCGATTGATTTGGTGACTGATTTAGAACAGGATTCTCTTTAAATGATTACTATAGCCTACATGTAAGAGCAATATCTATTTTATTTATACATATTTACAAGTTGAATATATACATAATATACGGACCGGGTGATTATTACATTTTTTTTTTAGTAAGATCAGTGTAGCAAATCCAGGCCCGTAGCCAGCTTGCTGGCGTTGTGGGGGGGGGGGCAGGTCCGGCGGTAGGGGGTCCGGGGGGGGGGGGTTCTCTCTTGCCGGGGGTACGGGGGTCTCCCCCCGGAAAATTTTGAAAATTGAGTAGCTGTAAACGAGTTTCTAGAAATTTATTCAAATCATACATAGGTAATTTATAAATACGGTCGACAACTTTTTGTCAGGGGGGCAAGATTATTTCCAGGGGGGGCTTCGCCCCCCCAGGACCCCCTTGGGTACGGGCCTGAGCAAATCCCGCAATTTGTATCTCTTGCGTGGTGCTTGTGGGATTAGTGGTTGTCTTTCACCATCCGCCGAGCTTTTGGGCAGAATTTGGAACATGCTAGCGTAAATTTGTAAGCTTACCATCATATATGTTTGATATTGCTTGAACGATACGAATATTGAGTAATAATAAGCTGAGGGGGGGGGGGGGGGCAAAGGCGTGGATTATGAGAAGAGACAATCGAGTTATACAAAAATATGTACACTGCATAAGCGTTGCAAAACCATGCGCGGTCATTTTATTTAGATTCTGTGGCAGATATTTTAATTTTTACCATTTGTCATGCATAATTGAAAACGTGAACCATCTTACATTGTTGTTTTAATAATAATATTTTGGCATGTGTGGATGATGATGATGATGATGATGCCCGCAGTCCTATTGTGTGTATGGGCATTTGAACAACTGTGAACATGTTGGATGATGTTCGAGCATGCAAATAAATTTGAACATTGCACTACAGCATTCAGAGCCTTTAACCAATGAGAATGCATATCTGGGTGACGTGGTTCATTGGGTGACATGACAATCAAACCAAATGGCAGTCTCCACATCTCAAAGCGTGTAGTGACCACTATGTCAAAACAATCTTGAACATGTTCACTAAATGTTGTATGGTGTAAATGAACATGAAAGTGGAGACCTCGTGACATTGAACATCATCATACAAATGTGGGATGATGTTCTTGAACAAAAGTAGGATCGTGTTAAAAAAATGACCTAGACATTCTCAAAATTGTAACCGCGTGATATTTTTCAGAACTTTCACACAATGTTCAAAATAAAAATTAAACGTTGAAACTGGATCGAATTTAATCATTTTTCGCTTTTGTTCTTAACCACTTTGTCGACATTATAATAATCATTGTCGTCCAAAGTCTTAGCACTAAATTCACCGATGTGATTATAGGTATTATCTGTGTGGGGATGACTGTTGCATGAGTTATTCCCCCCTAGAATATTATAATCGTCATTGGATTCATCATAAGACACGTCTCTAACATTTTCACCATTCCCAGTCGAGTAGTCGCGCTTTATATGGTCATATTCATCACGTTTTGGTTTATCGTTTGCCAGCTTGTTAGATCCAATATGGTCGTAGTCGTCGTTGTCTTCTGAATAATTATCTTGTTTATGGCTCACTGTGGGCTGATTTTCAACTGAGTTTATCAGATCGTGGGTTCTTATATAGCTAGTTCTATCCAAATTCGGACTTTCTTCCGGGTTTGAACGATAAGTTGAACTTTTAGGGTTTTTGTTACCAGCTTTGGTCACCAGTTTTTTCCTGTAAAATTTAGTAAAATCCAACATTCAAAAAGCGTGAAGTGAAGAAACATCCAAATAAAATTATAAACAAATGGTTCTTAATTCCACGAATGGACGGGTGTTACAAAGGCTGTTGCAATGTGTGTTTCAGTTAAAATTCCTTAACTGAGGTGGGATTAACGTCCAATCGACACAAACTAGGTTCAATTTTATTACAATAATTCGCTTGCGCGTAGGGTCTTTAGCAGTGAGAGGAAACCGGGGGACCTGGAGAAAGCCCATAATGTTGGACAGGCGACCCTACTCCTTGTCACGTACAACCGGGGAATCAAAACCACGCCAGTTGACTCAATGACATACCTTATGATACAGCGCGCGCGTGCTAACCATTCGGCCATCCAACCCCCCTAGAATGGGAGAAGAGTGTTAATGCCGTACAGAAGGCGACCCTCTAGAGTTCAACACGATGGTAAATGCTACACAGATGGCTACCACACCCTCTACAGTTCAACACGATGGTAAATGCAACAAAGAAGGCGCCTGACCACACCCTATATGGTTACACCCGGTGGTAACTGCTGCAGGGAATGACCACATCCTCCACATTTAAACGCGATGGTAGGACAAGGTCATTACAGCCAAACATGATGTAAATCTGGATAAAAGGCGACTGGCCACATCCTGTACAATTAACCACGATGGTAAATATTGGACAGAAGGCGACTGGACACACCCTGTACAGTTAACCACGATGGTAAATACCAGACAGAAAGCGACTGGTCAGTTTCCTAAATGCGCTCTCTCTCTCTCTCTCTCTCTCTCTCTCTGGTATTACTTACCGAATCCAAAAAGACAGAACAACTATAAGACTAACCAATATTAAACCACCAATAACAGAGCCAATTATAGTCCATAAATCTGAAAGGAGATGAGAAGATCGCAATGATGACATAGTTAATTCTCATCCAAAGCTCTATACACGTCACCGCAGAAAACATATCCGTGTGATAGTTCCTTAAATCTTTGACATGATTTGAATGAGGACGCAGGTTCACTTACCAGGGGGTTCGGGGTTCGATCCCGGTGTTGGCCAAGAAACTTCCCTGTGATATTCCAGTGTAAATTCCCCTTTGGACAGTAGTGGTACAGGGAGGATTGCCCGAGTAGAAACACCATTTAGTCGTGTAATAGAACCCTTGACAGTTGGAATACAATTTCTGTCCGAGCAACATCTCTCTCGTTTAATACTGTATACAATATACAACATACCGGTCAGTCGATATCACCTCGATGTGGGCAGAAAACTAGGACGTTAAACCCCATAGTATTTCATGGCTATTTAAAGATACATTATATAAGATTTAGATAAAGAACTAGCCATTCTTGCTATAATAGTTCGAAAGTAGATGATGTAAAATGAATAATTTGAAAATTTCATTCAAATTACTCTATTGCAAGCGAAGATATTAGCCTTTGAAGGTTTGACAGACGTGTGCAATAATTTCAACCACCGTACTGGTTGATCGAAGCTATGTCTCGGTCCTCCATATTTGATTAAATCAAAGTATCGCTGAACCATTCTAATCTATTTAATATCGGAGAAATCTGATGCCATCGAGAGTTGATTAAGGCCTGGATCAGTTAATTAATGTCTAATTAATACTTTAGAAAACATTTCAGGCCTAAAGAAAGACCTGCAATAGGCAGATTTAGCTCTTGCATAATGCATGTTTAAGAAAATTCGAAATTAATAGAAATATTGTCGAGAATCATACAATTTCAATGTTAGCTATGTTAAAAAAGAACCACTTTTTAAGAAAACGTGACCCTTCCAGTCAGGAGTTTTAAACTATTTTGATTTTCTCGTAATTATGAGCTAACTAAATTTTCTGTTTTTCAACAATGGTCTTCCGTAATGAATAGCATGGTATTGAAGGACAGTATTGGTGCAAACCACTAATACATATTTGATAGAAATGCTTAAACACATTCCAAATATAATATTCACACACAGATCTTTGGTATGGTTCATCCGTAACAAAGATTTGAAGATTTGGGAGTTATCCTTACTGTTGAAGTCAAGGGCGATAACATATACACAGTCGATTTTCACCTCAAGGATAATTCCGTTGAAGCAGAAAAGTTGTTACTAGTATATGAGACCGTGAGAGGATATCTGATCGAAGCAAACTATTCATAAAAAGAATTGATTGCAAGGATACACTGAAAAAAAACTTGTGTGTGAAAATTATTCTACACATGTTATGTGTTGTTTTGCATTGCATTAACACAAACTTGTGTTCTTGTTAATGCATTAACACAAATCTTGTGTTTTTTTCCATATAATTAACACAAGTAATGTGTACCCTCAACAAATATATTTTTTTTTTAAATTTGAACTCCATACAAAGTCTTAATCCGGGGGTCCACAAGTAAGAGAAAGGTATTTTTTACTCAGACAATATAGCCAGACAGACTTGAATGCTAATTGGTGTTAAGATGTCTGTAGTTAAAATAAAGTTGGGCCCAATAAACTGGTAGATCAAAGGCCTGTTGAGCGCTCATGCCCGGTGTGATTTTAAAATTGACTCCAAATGCGTTGACAAGAAAATAAGTAAAACTGTTATTGAATGTGATTGGTTGATAAAATCAACGTACTATAGGCTACATTTTGTCTGCGATATCATCTCGGTGGAAGCGGACATTAAATGAAGTGATTTCACACAATTAATTTAACATTTAACAACGTGCTGAAATGATTTTGGAGCAGTGATATGTTTGACAAATGTAAGCTAATGGTCACATAGAATACAAGACCGCAGGTTTGTGAATATTTATATAAAAAAAATAATACCATGTATGTAATTTAGCATCGATATTGTTTCTCTGTATAATATTAGTATTTCGTTTCCTTAAAAAAAACTCCAACAATTTAAACCGGAAGTTCATGTTTATAATATGGCGCGGTCAGGAAAAAAATTTCGGCATGTTATTATCAAATCTGTTCAATTTTTCTGAAATCATGCTTAATTAACATTAGTTGTTCGGAGCTACGATGTTGTTCAAATACTTACATTACAGAATCACATTATGATTAAAGCAGAAACGGCTCGACTTGAACCAGCAGGTAAGAATCTGTTTTGAAATTATATCTTGGGAGGTTGGATTGGCGTTGGAGACCCGATTGGCGGCCATTTTGATTCTTGTTTCATGATTTTTTTTATATTATAACAATTTTGCCACTAGTAGACATAAACGCGGGCACAGACTAGAAAAAAATCTTTTTACACTTTTGTGATAGTTGAATTGTAATCTAACTTATGTTTAAAAAAACAACCTTAAATCTAATAAGCAGACGGAAGATATGGACGAACAACAAGAAGAAGTTATGGAGGTCCCAACAACTGAACCTATGGAAGTAGAAGAATCGTTTACAGCCGAAACCCGATACGATGTGCCAGTTCCAGTCATGGAGTCCTCCATCTCAGACGATGCCGACGTTAGTGTCTTCTGCGACGAAGAACCCGTAGTGGTGTATACGCAGGTAGAAGCTGGTACCTCCCGTGGCAAGTCCAAGTTGTTTGACAACCAAGGGTTTAGTTATACAATTAAGGTAGGGTGATTTATTTTACCTAGTTAACTACCTTGTATAGAAATGTATTTCAGCTACAAAATGTAAAGATAATTAACTCTAGTTAACCTAGTTAACTCTATAATAATAAATGAATTTAATATATTTTAGACAGAGAAGAAAACTACGATTTGGAGGTGTTCCAAAAGAAGCGGACCAACACGATGTCCGGCAACAGTAATCCAAGATGGTGATACATACCAACCAGGCTTAAAGAACCATCTTCACCCAGCAGAACCCGGTATACAGACGGCTACCAAGATAAAAGTTACAGTAGGTTTAAAAATTATATATCAATTAAATTAAAAATTTATATATGTGTGTAAATAAATAAAATATAAATAAACCAATAATATATTTGTAGTTTAATATGTTTTATCTTATCATTACAGGCAAAGCATGAAGCCAAAGGAAATGTTTTTACCAAGTCATGTTCCTCAATAGCGGAGAGAGTTTTATCCAGTGTCGGTTCTGCAGAAGAACCCATTCATAGCAGACCACCCATGGCAGCACTTGTAAGGTCGCTACAAAGAACCCGACAGACTCTGCGACCAAAAGATCCCACTGACGTGTCGTCAAGCGTAAGTACTCATGCAATTAAATACCCATGTATATAAGAATTTATTAACATGTAATTAAATGTACAATTTTATTTATTTATTAACATGTAATTAAATGTACTTTTTTATTTATTTTTTGTTTTAGCTTGACGAAGATTTCATCGATCATAGTGCACCGGGATTTTATCAAAAAAGAGTAAAAGTTGGGGAAAGGCGCCATCACATTTTTTGTACTGATAGACAGATGCAACTACTCGCAGGCGCAAAAACTATGATATATGGATGCAACTTTTCGGGTGGTGAACAAGCCATGGTCTCAGCTGTTTTCCATCCACGCCTTCATTAAGACTGGAGAGACCACCCGACAGTTACCATTGGTGTTTTGTGTAATGTCGGGTAAAAGCCAAGACGACTATTATAAGGTAAATAGCACTTACTGATTGAATTACTATTAATAGTAAAAAAGGACTCTTATTTGGGACCTTGAAATTGTCACAAATGGGTCGCACTAACAGCGACATTTGTTTCAGGCATATTTGTTTCATCGGTGACACGTCTGGTGTCATGTGAATGCAACGACAACAGCCTGGTTGATTGATTTGTTGATTGGAGTTCAGATGTCTACATTAAAATCGACCACTTTCAGGTTGCCGTATTCACGGCCAGGCAAGACCGACTTGAAATTTCTAGAAATTTTTCTGGGGGAGACAGGCCCCAACAAATCCCCCGACGGTGCGTTTCACGACTTTGGCGCAAGACGGTGACCTTGAAGAGACGTCGAAAACCATTTAATAGACATAGTAAAAGTCATATCTTACGAGATTATCGCTGGTCTTGTCAGAAAATGCTATTTTATATATGACCAGTTTGTGTTTGAAAAATTTAAAAAGAAATTATTTATTCTCCCACCATTAAAGCACACTAATTACGAAATATCGCTCTCAGAAACTTCATGGTTCCTTTTGCAATTTGTTTGGGGTAAGACGTTATATAAATAATATCAATCTGTCTACCACAAAAATTTAACAGATACAAATGCATGTTATTCCACAGGTAGACAGACAGACAGGGCCTCCTTTGAAGGGACTCAGTGAAGGGAACGCGGTTGGTTTAGGGTTTGTCTGACCCCTTTGAATATTTGCGTCTCATCTCCAATGAAAACAATCATGTTGCTCTCATGCTGTTCTCAACCAGAATCAAACATATATCGTACCCGAGATTTGTTAGCATGTTCCACACAACCCAACATTTATCGGCACCGGGATTAAGGGTGTATATCTTTGTTTCTAACGCTTATTGGGAATACGCCACGGAAACTACAATAAAAACTTATTTACAAAAACATTCTAAAGAGTGAAAACTGACATATTTCAAGCTTTACTGTATTTAAAGAAATAATTTAAATCAGCCGGCTGAAACCCCGTCTCCGCTATTTGTTCAGTCATTCTTTAGGTATAGTGCCAGTTTCCACCGACAATGATATTGCAAACAAGTGTCCAATCTATAAAACCATACATTCCTACAAAATGTTTCTTTAGTCAAGTGAAACAATAAATTCATAACTATGCGAGGGTGTGGTGAGTAAATTCGTGGTAACAAGTCTGAAAAGGCTAATGTGACATAGAACAAGGTCACATTGATATTGACAAATACGTAAGACGATATGAACATCAACTAAAAAGATATGTAATGTGATTCAGCTACAAGGTGATATATGCATATATGCAGCATAGATAATTAAAACTTCTATTCAAGTTAAACCAACTGTATCTATTTATTTAAGTCTTACGTCGAGCTGAATACATTTTATGATTTATTGTCATCTATTGGTGGTTAACAGTGTGTAACTAAAAACTAAAATTGGATCTTATTATTGCCAATGATATAATGTACATGTAATAGCAAGTGTATATATATTTTTTGTTCAGTCTGTACACAGTAACATATATGAGAACCATATTATTATCATTTCTACCCAAGGCTCCCTGTGCCTTATAGTTAGCAGTGATACAAGGCAATTACCAATTTTCCATGTTCTTGGCCTGAAGAAATAAAATAATAAAAGTCAAGTTTTTATTATTATGCAAGTGGAAAAATACAATTATTCATAGTATGATTTGAATAAATACAACTGATTTGAAGTTGGAATTATTATTTGTCTAAGATGACTGGGCATTTACAAATTGAAATAGCTACTCTTCATCAAGAAAATACATGAATATTTTTCCCAATTCACCTGGATTTTATTGTAGGTCTTTGTACGTGAAATAGCTTTATTTAACGTCCGCTACCACCGAAGTGATATTGCAGAAAATTAACAAATTCGGATTCCCTTTTAAAGGAAATTGACTGCACTATCGCTGGATTGTATTATATAGGTCATGTCAGTTTTTTTCAAAATGGCGCCCAGAACACAAAACAAACATTGCAATTCAAGGCGGACTGGTGTCGAGGCTGTATCCTAAGAATGATTTTTTGAATATTTAATCACACAGAAACACAAGTATGCACATGCAGTTATGATATAATATTAAATTAGCTTACCTCAAATACCTCGAAATATACTGTTTGGTCAGTTTGTCCGCCCGCCATATTTCTATTAGTCACACATCCTTCGGCCAATTAAAATGGACGTATAATATGTTTTAACCGAAACGAAAAATTTGCGTTATAAATAGTAAATGAGCTTGATTGACCGACCACTGCATGTTTTTTCGTGAAACGGTATAACTGCAATCAACACACGGCCGCCATTCTCGATGATTGACAACTCACGTTTGTCCTCATCCACCAAAGAACCGTTAGGTTTTTTTGAACATACTGTAATAACATTGGGATTATCAGTTAATCAGCTTTAATTATCCCGCTTTGTTCGTTGCCATTTCTTATATTTTCCACAAAAAAACTTTGCCTTGTACGCACTAATTTATCAATTGGTATTGCCATCTACGACAAGCATGTCAACGTGCAGCTCACGGATTATCGTTAACAATTTCTAGGGGCTTGTAAAAAAAGATTGCATGTCGTGTAAATATTTATTTTGTTTTTTGTGTAGGTCATTTTCAAATAAATTCATCAGCATATTATTCGTTTTAAATAAATATAAAACTTTTATGAGAAACGATGATTATCAAAGAACCGTAAGTGCAACTAATGTTTTATCGTTTGGTTGAGCCTTTTACTAACCACGTGTTTCATGTTAATAAATATTTTCTTTCGTGTTTTGAATTGGCCTATTTCTAATAAATTATCCCGAGTCCCAAACGTCGTTAACCCGAGTCCCAAACGACGTATACCAAAGTCCCAAACGTCGTATACCCGAGTCCCAAATGTCGTGGTCATATTTTTTTGAGTCCCAAATGACGTGAGTCCCAAATGACATGTAATCCGTTGTTCAACCTCTGTGAGTCTGTGTAATATTTAATATTAGGCCCCATTTTTGCCTGATTCAGTCACAGTTAATAAATAATGGAACTAGAATCAGCCTGTGGAAGTTTCTCTATAGTTTTATTATTTTTTCCAGTCAGTGATGATATGTGACTCTTTCCACCTTCCAGCAATAATTATTGAGAATTTACCAAGGACTCCATTGGCATTGAATCGAAGAAAAACAGGTAAAAATTTCAATTAATTTTTATATTTTCTATTTTTTTTTTACCAATGTCCTACAATGATTAGTGTATGTGAACATACAATCCAAAATAAAGTATTTATATGACACTTACATGCAACAGAGAGAGAGAGAGAGAGAGAGAAATGACATAAACAAGGCCTTACATGTACTTGTATTTGAAGAATCAAGTAGTCCATGCTGTGCCTATATGCATACCGGTAATCAACTACGACGAGGATTAGCCTACTTCCGTTTCCACCCTTTCCCTGCACACTGTCTCATTCTACATGTATTAAAAATTGGTATGTTACTGTAATATTAATTATGCACGAACCTACATGTAGAGTTGTTGCAAGATGGGTCCTTATATCTACTTAGCCTACAGACGCTAGGTCGTTTCGGGAAAAAGGACAGGTAAGGTTAAATTTAATATGAATAATTCGCTTGCGGGTATGGGTATTTAGCAAAAGGAGGAAACAAAAGGACCCCGAGATTAGAGAAGGTATGCTTCAATTTAATATGAATAATTCGCTTGGCGTAGGGGTACATGTATTTAGAAAACGGAGGAAACCGAATGACCAAGCGAAAAAACTCAAGAGATTGGACAGGCGACTCTACTCCTTGATTGAAACCATGCCACTTAACACAATGACAGACCCTGTGATTTCATGCGCAGACCATTCCCCCCAGCCCCACCCCATATCGAATAAAAGTATGACTTATTTCAAATATGATATTTACATATAAAGAAAGTAGAGAGACTTCAATCTTACTAGAAAAATACTAGATTACCTGAAATGAAATGGGGTTTAAAGACAACGTCCTGCTGGTCAGCTCCGACTGGTCTAATGCATTGTGCTAAGTGAAAATGTTTGTCTGGGCAGCGACACTATGGCCTACTCTCATACCGAATTCAAACTGCCAAGAGAACTTTTATGTGTACGCCAATGTGTACATTGGATCTCAGGGGAAACCACTCTGCAAAATCAAGATGAGCTTTCTCGGTCAACCCCAAGAGATAACCTGTGGTCTCCATGCTAGTGTGCCAGCACCTAATTTACTCAGTCACCATGGCCGTCTTCTAATTACTGCGACAGTGAAGCCATGTGACAAACAAGGATTATTAAGATAGGCTTTTACGGCTTAGGTAGTTCCTTGGGATTAAAACTTTTGATACATATAGATACATTAGTTTCAATTTCATATCACACAGTTTGTATATATGGTAAGGTAGCTTTAATCGTAAATTACATATCATGTATTTATTTTTTCAGTTTCAATATTGGATGTATATGCAAATCACCCAGAAAAAGATCATGTAATAACAAAAGAAATTATAAAAGAAAAAAATGGAAGAAGAAATGGCTGGAAAAAATGATGATAGAGCAGCTTTTTCTTGGTGGGTAACTATTCAATTCTAATAGAAAAGATTGTTATGCTATTTTGAAATCTAAAATTCAGTTTAGTATAGTAAAACTGTACACGTCATGTATGAGCAGAGACAGAATCTTAGTTATATGTAGATATCACTGTCTCATCTGTGGCAAAGCAAACCAACACATGAAACAAAACAAATGTAATTAAATTAACATTTTTTTAATTAATCAAAACTGTCTAGTCAATTTAAGCCAACTAATACATTGCCAATTTTTTTTTCAGTTACCCACCTCGGAAGATCAAGTTGGAAAGGGCTATTGATATTGTGGAGACGTTTTCTCACAGATCTTGCTTATCAGACAAAGACTAGGTAAGTACCATGCATATTTGCTTTTTAAATCAGGAACTGGTTCTATACACTTGGTGGGGGGGTTGGATGGACGTTAAACCCCATTTCTCTCTTCTCTCTCCTAAATATTGAGATTTTTGTTTACTTTTAAACTGCATATATTCAAGGTATCAGGAGCTTTTTATGGCTCCCGTACAATTTTATAAACATGAAGGACTGTACCTTTTGAATATTAAGCCATCAAATTATTTTATAATTTTGAAAATGAAATGAAATGGGGTTTAACATCCTACTGTTTTTCTCATAAATTGGGCTAATGAAGACGGGCATACGCCATACAGTGTGCTATGAAGGGAATTTTGGCCGTGCAGCGGCGCTACAGTCTACTCTTATATCGAATTCCAATTGCCAAGGAATCTTTTACGTGCACGCCAATGTGTACACGGGACCTCGGTTTTTCGTCCCATCCAAACGACTAGACAGCTGTCCTTGTCAGGTCCTCCGTCCTGTATCACTGACAAGGGGAAAACACGCAAAATGTAAGTAACATATATATTTGTATTTTTAATCAGGAAGTACTTCTATACACTTGCTTGGTAATCTAGTTATTCTTCTTGGGGCAATGCCTAGGACTCTGCTGTTTCAAGTACTTGGCATGCTTGATTTTTGCCAATCACATCCATTGATTTTCTTCAAGTTGCGATAGGCCCTACATGTATGTGTATTTTTACAGTAAATAGCAGTAAAATAATGATGGACAGTATTTTACTTTCAAATAGATTTCAATAGATTTTAAAGGGTAATATCCAATTTGTTGTCAATGGAAATAAAATAAGAATGGGTCCAAAAATAATTAGACATTGCCAAGTAAATAGGTGCTGCCATGATGTAGTAGGGAATCTGGATTTGCAGACAATACATGTATGAAAGGGTGAATAGTTGACCTATTATGAGACTTCAGTCCCAAATCTCAAGACTTTTTTCTGACTTCTAACTCATTTGATTTGAGCATAATAATCTGCCTGGGTCTGTAACTGGACAAGACACAATAAGCATTACGCAAAGTTGAAACCAAATAGAGACTCGGTCTCGATGTGGCAAAATAAATTGTTTATTTAAACGTTGTGAACCATAGAAAGTATTCTTATTGCCTACTTTTTATTTTTTAGGCTGGAACACCATTGAAAGAGTATTTGCTGTATGATAACAACAAGAAAACCCAAGCATCAATTTATTTTATACTTCTGGGAAAGAATGCATTTGACCCAATTTTTAAATATTTATTTTTTGTTATTAATGTTAACTTTTCTTCCAAAACACAATTAGATTTTAATTCTCTTCAGAAATGTATGTATAATATAGCAAGTAAAGTGACATATAAATCACTTAGAATTTGGTCAGAAATCATAAAGTATTTAATAGGCATAGTCTAGAAACCAAATGTAGATCAAATATACCCAGAATTACAAAAAACCTTGACCTACATTAAGTTGACTTTTCCTTGCTTATGAAATGAAATAGGGTTTAATATCCTTTTTTTCTGTGTTCTTAGAGTGATTCTGCCCTACACCCTACTCTTATATAAAATATTGCAACTGTCAAGGGTTCTTTAACGGGAACCCGGGAGGGGGGGGCAATGATTAACACGCACACATTTGATCAGGAAGTCTGTCATTGAGTCAAATAATTCAATTGTCAAGGGTTCTTCTAAGTGAACGCAGTGGGGATGGTTTCGATTCCGGGAATGGGGGAGGGGGTGGTGGATGGCCGAATGGTAAGCACGTGCGTGCGGTATCATACGGCCTGTCATTGAGTCAACTGGCGTGGTTTCGAATCCCCGGTTGTACATGACAAGGAGTAGGGTTGCCTGTCCAATCTTGTGGGTTTTCTCCAGGACCTCCGGTTTCCTCCCACTGCTAAAGACCCCCATGCGCAACGAATTATTTAAATAAAATTAAACCATATGTTAATCCCGAAATGACCTAGTTTGTGTCAAGTGGACGTTAAACCCCATTTCTCTCTCTCTCTCTTTCGATTCCGGGCTTGTACCCAATTATCCCTTGCCATATCCAACACTACTGACAAGTGGGAACTATGCCAGAAAATCCAGTTGAAATTTCTCGGCCAACACCTTATACTCACTGAACCACTGTGGCTTATGAATTGTGATTGTATATAAGTTTTTTGTACATATGATATTTTTTTATTTCAATCCTGTAATCTTGATGCTTTGCTTCTTTTATTTACAAAATATTCATTTTGTTTGGGGTTTTTTTAATGAGGAAAAGGTTTTACATCATTTTATTACTCCTGCAAAATAGTGCATTTTTCTTTTGTTAGTTTTCTGTGTATATTAGTTATTTCTATATGTCTCACAAATCACTTGTAGTGTGATTTTGTAGCACTTTTCAGAAATTGTTTCAATTTAGTGCATAATTAATCTTAGTGCTTGGTTTGGATGTTATTAAATTTAGATATTATTTGAATTATATATTTTGGAGTATGGGGTAGGGATACTGTGTACATATCTTCTTATTCTCAGTTCTTGTTTTGGGGTAAAGAACAATTTATATAGCTATTTTATATTTTGTGATAGGTAAAGTGTGTGGGGTTAAGAACAATTTAAATAGCTATGTTATATTTTGTGATGGGTAAAGTGGGGTGTTTGTGTGTGTGTGTGTGTGTGTGGGGGGGGGGGGGTCATTATATATAACACAATATAATTAGTATTAGAATTCTCTGTTTTTCTGTTAACATTTCAAATATCTATTTAGTTTTGATGTATTAATTTACTTTTTCCTATGATTTTATGAATAAATAATAATCTTACAAAAACAAAAAAATATTTTGTTTCCTTCTTTTATCAAACTTTACAGGTCTAACAGAGCAAAGAGATGGGTCCTACATAAAAAGGTTGCTATACTGTATATAAATTGGGGAAAAACACAACACAAGTTTTTGTGGATGGTTATACACAAGTTTGTATGAAACCACACAAGTTTCAGAAATTTTAACACAAGTTTCAGAAATTTCAACACAAGTTTCAAAAATTTCAACACAAGTATTGTGTAGATTTTCACACAAGTTTGTGTTGTTTCAACATTTAACACAAGTTTTGTGTTGTTTCAACCCAAGTTTGTGTTAAATAGAGACACCTTACTTGTGTTGTTTCAACACAAGTTTTTTTTCAGTGTATCTGTGTTAAAATTATGTTTGGAATGTGTTTAACCAGGTACATCGCTTATGAAGTATTGGCTGACGCCAATGTTGTCCTTTAAAGAAAAAGATTTTGACCCTACCAGTCTGAGCTGTGTTACGGCTTTGGTTATCATTAGTCGGCGCTGTACCCAGAGCTGTCGCTGGAATCTGCGTTGTTTTTGTTCCTTAAAAGCAAGGATGTTATATGAATATCACTGAAATCATTATGTGTATGGCTTATATAAAGTATATTCATATTTTTAGAACTACATTTTATATCTTGTATAGTGAAATGCCTTGAAATTGAGTTTATCGTCCTACTGTGCTGCTCGGAGAGGGTTGGTGAAGACTAGCAGTAGAAAAGTTGTTAGCGTGAGAGGATATCTGTTCGGAGCAAACTATACGTAAAAAAAACTGACTGCAAAGATATCTGTGTTAAAATTATTATTTGGAATGTGTTTAACCCGGTCTCTCAAATATGTAATATTGGCTGACGCCAACATTGTCCTTTAAAGAAAGATAATTTGACCCTACCAGTCTGAGCTGTGTTACGGCTTTGGTTATCTTTAGTCGGCGCTGTACCCTGAGCTGTCACTGGAATCTGCGTTGTTGTTGTTTCTTAAAAATAAGGAAGTTATGAATACCGTTGGAATCACTATGTGTATGGCCTCGATCAAGTATATTCATAATTTTAAAACTACATGTATTACATATATCTTGCATAGTGGAATGCTATAAAATTGAGTTTATCATCTAGCGAAGACTAAAACATACAATTAGACTGTCTGACAAAACTTAAAATAAACAAAACGACAAAATGCAAATGTGAATAGCCTTGTCAACTAGGGATTGTCGAGCACGTACTTAGAGCAGTTGGTACAAATCCCGACCTACCACAAGTTGGCCCAAAGTTTTGTTTCATATCGTATGTTCTATTGCATTATTATTATATGAGACACCACAATTTTATCCGTGCTTAAGGTCCCGAGAGGTCTTCAGCCTACTCTGAATCATGCCCCTCATGAAACAGAAAAAGAACGAACTAATGCATTACACAAACCGCAAATTAACCATTTTAATATCAAACTGAATACCGGTTAAAGCAGAACAATATCTTCTCCATATCGTTGCCGATCCCGAAAGGAATTGAACTGCTATTCCTTTAAGAGATCAACGTTTACAATATTGTTGTTTGCAAGGGATTAAAAATCCCCCAAATCCAAGCTTAAAATTCCTAAAATATCAATCAGCGGCTTAAGTTACTTACAACAGCCCTATATCATAGCTAACAAATTTTGCATGCATTTTAAAGTTACAATTTCATATTTTTAAGTTATATTTAAGTTTGAAGATAGCTATTCCGTGGTGGGGAATAGAAAAACAAGGGAGGTAATTGGGGTAATTATTTCCGGTGTAAATGAGTTTTAAGTGTGAGAATGACACCTATGATCGTATAATAGTGAGTTGTCAACCTATTGAGCAAAAGACATAGAAATAATTATGTTTTGACTCTCTTAGAAAATATGAAATTCTCGCTTTAACGATGATGATGGTAAGCAAGGGTGGTGGTGATAATAAAAGGATAATGATGGTGTTGACGATAACAGTGGACAGTGATGATGATGCTGTAAGCTGTGGTGGTGAATACTAGTCAACAATATTTTGGGATACTATTGTTGTTATTAAAATATGTGGCAATGAAGAAACTTTGAATATTGTTGTATTGCGAGGCGCAATTAAACACAACACAGCGATGATGTTGTAATCTATGACGATAACGACGATGATGGTAATGATGGTGATAATGAATATGACTGTGTTAACAATGATGATAATAATGACAATGACAATTTTAGCGATGATGATGTTTGGACATAACAACAACCGGCATATACTAGTATGAATATAATAGCCAATCAGTGATGATGATGATGATGATGATGATAACAATGATGATGGTTCACCATGACAATATCGGCATAAACATATAAATAGCAGACAGTATGTGATGTTCAATGACGTTAAAGCTGAACTCCGATTACAAGACTACAGAAATAATTAAATAAAACAAGGTAACGCCCTAAACGACCGCCATACTTGTTTTCAATTTGTAGAAGAAACATGGCGATCGCTTAGTTTTGTAACCGGAGTTCAGATTTAACAACGATGTTGCTGTAAACGATGATGATGTAAAAGATGATGATTATAACGATGAAGATGTAAACGACGTTGATGTAAACGATGATGCTATTAACGATGATGATGTAAACGATGGTGCTATGCACGGGAATGTTGTAAACAACGATGATATTGACTAAGAATAGGACAACAATAATCATGGTGGTGATATGATGATGTATGTAATTTCAAACAGACCTGTTTTGTCCGCACTACCTTGAGTTGTCATGGTACCAGTAATCTTCTCTGTTGTGGTTTCTTAGAAAACAATAATAAAGATAATATATCGTTAGATGTATTTGATTCACATTAACAACAATCGGTATAAGTTCTATATATCGAGAGCCACGGTGACTCGTTGCGTATGACCGCGTGGAGAGGGTTCCATGCTAAAAGTGTCCTCGGTGTAGGGTGTGTCTCTCGATGAGGGTGACTGTAGAAATGGAGCCTGTGTCCATTGGGGGCCCCGCTCTAGAAGGGTGTATCAGATTCTCTCTTGTGAAACCTTTTGTATTTCTAGTTTATGCACAAATTTATGCACAATTCATCCAAAACGACTTAAGTCCAGGACTAATTACGGGCCCCAAAACCACGTGAAACATTAGCTTCTTTAGGGACCCACGAGCTTACCTGTCAGCCATTACCTGACTCCCTAACCAAAAGGTTTCGGGATTAACATATGATTCGTTATTTTTAATAGTTGGCTGTGGGATGAAACCTAAGAGATTGACACCCACTAGACACAAACTAGGTTACTTTCAAGGGGGGGGGGGGGGTAGCACGTGCGCGCTGTATCATAAGGTCTGTTATTGAGTCAACTGACGTGGTTTCGATTCCCCGGTTGAACGTGACAAGGAGTAGTGTCGCCTGTTCAACCTCGTGGCTTTTATTAAGGGTTCTCCGGTTTCCTCCCACTGCTAAAGATCCCTACGCGCAAGCGAATTACTGAAATAAAATTGAACCATGTCATAGTCCCGAAATGACCTAGTTTGTGTCGAGTGGGTGGACGTTAAACCCATCCCCCCCCTCTCTCTCTCTCTCTCTCTCTCTCTCTCTCTCTCTCTCATTATTTTCAATAATTCGCTGAGGGATGAAACCGGAGAACCCAAACAAAACTCACGAGGTTGGACAAGCGACCCAACTCCTTTTCAGGTTCAAGTGTGGGAAACCACGCCTCTTGACACAATGACAGATCTAATGATTTGAAGCGTACGTGTTAACCACTAGACCACCCCTCCCCCCGTGGTCCATAATGAGTAAGCATACTCACGTATTATAGGTTCTGATAATGTATGATGTTTATAAACCTACCTTTTTCATTACAGGTGTATTCAATTTTACTATATGCATTAACATTTATATTGCTGCAATTATTAAAACTCCGAACACCCCTGTATTTACATGTACTGCTATTGGCACATATATGTGTTAAATTTAACTTGATATTGTCTGTAAAAGGTAAAAAACAGTCCCCTGGCTCCTCCTTACAGCAGCCAGCGGTTCTACAATTCGAAACTCCGTTGTTATCCTGGCAGCTTTGTTTATAACCATAACTAGCATTGGTTATAGCAATAACCTGGGTTTCTGTACAGTTTAGTTGATGGATTGTACATGGAGAGTCTGTATTAACCATAGTTGAGTGACAAGCACGGCTAATTAACGATGCTGCAATAGATGAAAAAGGGACATGTCTATTCATTTTACTTATTATTTTACTTTTGGAACTATGTAAATGAATAGTAGTAATTACGCGTAACACGGGCAAAGCGAAGAGGACCCAATTACGCGTTTTGTGCCATGGGTTTCGAGTTTCTGCGCACCACTTGAGTTTATGACTAAAGCGGTCATAACTTTTATTGAGAGGATCTATTTCTAAAGTAAAATATATAGTTCTCTGTGTGCACATAGAATGACTCAAGCTAAGTAAAGACAAATTACAAACACAGCTATGAACTTACTTTATTGCATTATTTCAAATTTCATCAGTCAAATAGTTGTCTTCTTTAGTGAGAAATTTTCTTAGTGTGCTGTTCAAAATTTCGTGGCACACATAGGGAGATCTCGCGGCACACTGGTTGAGAATCAGTGCTATAATCAGAATCATAATGTCCAGCAAATACTGAGGATCAGATATGCAACAAATGCACACAAGGGTATAAATATTGGGTTGTTGCGCCCCAAAATTAATCTTGTTCCTGGTGTAAACAAAATCAGCGGCCTCTACACACCTGACCCCTAAGCGTGTATTTAGCATATTTTGATACGTGGAAATATGTCTGCCTATAGATCTCAAAAAGGTCATCAAAACACCAAAATAAATTTACCTGCCGGAGCTGTGAAATAAAACAGCAATAACAAGAAACGTCGGATCATATTTAAGATACAAAATATCACCAAATTTAATGACAGCAAGATGTGCGATCTGAAAACAATAATAGCAAAAATTAATAACAGCACAATATCAGTTGTTTTTATTTTTGCATAAAAATCAAACCGGTATTGAACCTTCAGTTAGCGATATCCCTCAGCTTTAATTTCAGCATCATTTTTATCACCTGAGCTTTGATTCAGTTGAATTAAACAAATGAAATGAAATGGGGTTTTGCGCCCCACTGTTATATTCCGACTGGGCAAATAAAGACGGACATACGCCATACTGATTGCTTTGAGGGAAATATTGTTCGGACAGCGGTGCTACGGCCTACTCTTATATCAAATTCCAACTGTCAAAGGATCTTTTACGTTCACGCCGATGTATACACAGGACCTCGGTTTTTCGCAACTTTTGAGCGACTAGACATCTGTCCTTGGCATGTCCTGCACCACTGGCGAGGGGTAACCACGCCTGAAAATCACGACGAACTTTCTCCGCCAACACCGGGAGCGAACCCGCGATCTCCAGGCTAGCGAGCCAGCGTCTTATTCACTTAGCCACGTAGCGTGGATTAAAAAAGAGGGCTATCAAAAGATTTGTGCGAAAATCATAGTTGGCGCTGAATGCTTTTGGTAGTATTCTCCATTGAAATCGGTATGTTAATAAATTTTCAATTTATCATATCCTAGTCAACAGGCCGACTGAACGGAAGTGGGCTATCTTTAAAGATCCAACTTCCTCAATTGACATGAACAAGAGTCTGCAGTGGAAGTGGAATGCTGATAAATTTTCATATGTTTGTAAATATTGAAAACCGGACCATTATTGGACTGATGTTCCTTTTAAACCTTCATTTTAAACAATATTGTATTTGGCAAGGCATTCAAAGCCCTCAAATGACGATCAAAGTCCTTAGACAACATAGCGATATTGATTGAAATTAGGTTTTGTGCCCCCACAGGATCCGTTTTCTCATGTAAAATCAATGGTCACCACCACGCCCTGGTGAAATCACGCCTAGTTCAGTTGTAACAATTCAACCACCTTTTTAGTTTCTGTATCCATAACAAGTTAGAATCTCACAACTTTGAAACAGTGGGTGGGGGGGGGGGGAGGGGGTAGAAGTTTAAACAGTCCAAGGAGGAGGAGGAGGTAGAAGTTTAAACAGGTCAAAGTTGAAGAGGAGGTAGAAGTTTAAACAGTCCGAGATGAAGGAGAGGTAGAAGTTTAAACAGTTCAAGGTGGTGGAGGAGGTAGAAGTTTAAACAGTTCAGGGTGGAGGTGGAAGGGGTAAAAATTTAAACAGTTCAAGGTGGAGGAGGAGGTAGAAGTTTAAACAGTTCAGGGGGGGGGGGGAGTTTAAACAGTTCAATGTGGAGGAGGAGGTTGAAGTTTAAACAGTCCAGAGTGGAGGGGGAGGTAGAAGTTTAAACAGTCCAAGGTGAGGAGGAGGAGGTAGAAGTTTAAACAGTCCAAGGTGGAGGTTGAAGAGGAGGAGGTAGAAGTTTAAACAGTCCAAGGTGGAGGTTGAAGAGGAGGAGGTAGAAGTTTAAACAGTCCAAGGTGGAGGTTGAAGAGGAGGAGGTAGAAGTTTAAACAGTCCAAGGTGAGGAGGAGGAGGTAGAAGTTTAAACAGTCCAAGGTGGAGGTTGAGGAGGAGGAGGTAGAAGTTTAAACAGTCCAAGGTGGAGGTTGAAGAGGAGGAGGTAGAAGTTTAAACAGTCCAAGGTGAGGAGGAGGAGGTAGAAGTTTAAACAGTCCAAGGTGGAGGTTGAGGAGGAGGAGGTAGAAGTTTAAACAGTCCAAGATGGAGGGGGCGCTAGAAGTTTAAAGGGTCTACGGTGGAAGACTGGGTAGGTGATTAAACAATCCAAGGCGGAGGGGAGGTAGAAGTTTAAACAACCCAAGTTTAGTTAGGTGAGTGGGGTAAAAGTAGGTGAGGGGAGGGGGTGGATACAAGCCGACCACATCACTGACATGACTGTGTTTACTATCATTTATTAAATATGGGTTATGTTTACAATTGATGTTACACTGAGAAACTGTGAATAAATTACATTATTGACAACTAAATGATTTACTAGAATAATGTTAATACTTACAATAAGATTCCAGATGTCTGTGTGTACAAGTTGAAGTCGATAAAACCAATAAATATTCAGTTATATCTAAAATATACGGAACTGTCTTTTCGTGGTTAAAATTATAATCGGATTAATTTGCATATTATACATCCGTGTGCAGCTCATCATCTTCGAACACCATGGTTTGGTAATTTACACAATATTGTCCGTTTTCATTATCCTGGTCGACCCAGAAAAGTAGGACGTTAAGCCCCCATTTTTTTTTCACACAATACTGTATAATACACCCCAAGCACTGTGGGTCCGAGAAGAAATGGTCCCACTTACAAAATCCAACAAACGAATCTGACAAACTTGGAGTTGTACTGGTGTCGACTAATGATTAGTTCGTACAAGCCGCGGCACTGCGTTATACCCTTATGTCGAGTAGGAATATTTGCATATTCCATTTTCCCCCTTTTACGCCAATATCTTATGTTATTCCACTGTTTTACGCATTGTTATAATTTACTTATATATTACTAATTCGGATCCTTTAGAACCTCTTTACTTATTCAATGCCAAGGTCATGTCGATGACGCATGTTTATATTCGATTAACCAGACACTTTGTATCTATGATTTGGGTTGCTTGATAATTATGCACTAGGAGATCGAGATTAAAGATGGCGTCTTAAAGATTGATGGTATTTTGGTTCTTCCTATATAACCCAGTTGTGGCCGCTCGCTACACCCCCAGGAAAAAGGGTAGCCGCAATTAACACTTATTTCAAATTCTAATTGTCAGGGGTTCTTTTACGTGTAAGCCAACGTGTACACGGGACCTCGGTTTTTCGTCCTATACAAACGATTAAACGCTGTTGTTCCTTGCCAGGCAATCCTAGTCGTTTGGATGAGACGAAAACCGAGGTCCTGTGTATATATTGGTGTGCACGTAAAGACACCCTTGACAGTTGGAATTCTAAACGTTCGTGAAATATATATTTTCGCTCAAAGCACAATGCGTGAGGTGTGCCCGCCATTACTGGTTGGTGCAGAAAAGTAGGACGTTAAACCTCAGTTCATTTGTGGCTAATATTAAGAACTATTTTATGCATAAGTAGTTCTGATATCGGTTAAGTGTCAAACCTGATCTGGATATGAAATATTTGCAGTGTAATTGGGTCGGTTAACAACGCGTGATCAGAGTGGGTTTTTTCTTTACTTCACCAGCTCTCTGAGGGGTTGGATGGCCGAATGGCTAGCACGTGCGTGCTGTATCATAAGGTCTGTCATTGAGTCAACTGGCGTGGTTTCGAATCCCCGGTTGTACGTGACAAGGAGTAGGGTCGCCTGTCCAACCTCGTGGGTTTTCTCCGGGTCCTCCGGTTTCCTCCCACTGCTAAAGACCCCTACGCGCAAGCGAATTATTGAAATAAAGTCAAACCATATGTTAGTCCCGAAATGATCTAGTCTGTGTCAAGTGGACGTTAAATCCCATCTCCCCCCTCTCTATCTCTCTCTCTCTCTCTGTCACCAGCGATCCCTGCATTGGCCGAGAAAGTTCATCCAGATTTTCCGGCGTGGTTTCCCCTTGTCAGTGATGCAGGACGGAGGGACTGACAAGGACAGCTGTCTAGCCGTTCGGATGGGACGAAAAACCGAGGTCCCGTGTACATATTGGCGTGCACGTAAAAGATCCCTTGGCAGTTGGAATTCGATATAAGAGTAGTCCGTAGCGCCGCTTCCCTCGTACACACTGTATGGCGTATTAGCCCAGTTTAGGAGCAGAACAGTAGGACGTTAAACCCCATTTCATTTCATTTCATTTCTGAGTCACCAGCTCTCTCCTTGGGTACCGAAGATGAGCTAAATTGAAACCGGAATTAAGTCTGTACACACACACACTATCTATACCAACATGAACTATGGATTGTGACAGGAAACTCAACTCTACTAAACAACCATGATTCATCTATTTACAATTTATCTCATAATATAATCATAGCCAACCTCGTGGGATTCTTCTTCCCATTGCTCCAGATCCGTATGCAGAGGCGAATTATTGAAATAAAATTGAACAATATGTTTAGTCCCGAAATTATCCAGTTTGTGTCGACTGGACGTTACAACCCTATGGAGCCGAGCACCACAGGTGCGAGTTTTGTAGGGGCCATGTGCAGTAGCGGATCAAGATAGGGGGGGGGGGGGTCCAAATCTAGGGCGCCACCCCAGCCACAATCCCACCCTACAATGAATTTCAACAAAATACTGGCTATAACATTAAGCGTCCCGGTAGAACATAGATGGTATTGTATAATTATATAGTTGTTTGCCGATCGTTGTCTCGCTGGAAAGCAGTTATATTTAAGTTTATGTCATATATGATTGTGCCTATAACACTGAGCAACCTGAGAAAATTTTGAAAAATTGAGTTACTATCTTGGCATTTGAGGTCATTGCTGGGAGAAATTCTTGTGGACGAGAGGACCAGAAATCTGAGTCAATTAGACAAAATCTCGAGATCTGCCTCTGTCAATTCCGCCTGTTTTGCAAGAGTTGACAGAACTTTTGTATATTCTGACGCCCCACGACCCACACACCAGTGCCAGTGGTAGGCCTACTACTAACATAACTAGGCAGTTCAGAATAACCGTGAATACGATAGTGCTGAGACAGTGTAAGACAACAGAGGAGTGGAATAATGATGTCATAATGGAATCGAGCGCCGCAGGCGCGAAAAAATTTCAGATGTGTAACCGAGCTTTTAATTTTTGGGACTGTGCCTGACAATTTTAGTCAATGTCATGGCAAATAGATCCAAATCCTCGTTAACGAGAGGATAAGAAATGAGGCCTATCTGTCAATGTCGCCTGTTTTGTGAGAGTAGAACTAACAATTCTACAGCCTTTTGACCCACGACTCACTCACTAGTGGTACTACTAACTGGGCGATTCACTGTAACTGTGAATATTATAGTGATGAGATAGTATAAGACAGAGAAGGAGTTGAAGAATGATGGCATAATGGAATTGAGCGCCGATATGTAACTGAGCTTTTAATTTTTGAGGACTGGGCCTGAGGGCACTTTACCTCAATGGGGAGCTTACTTGGTCTCTGAAATGCCCTGGACTTTGGGGAGAGATTTTGCAGAATTCTGATGGTCAGAAAACACCCCATTAATTCATTTAGTCTGAGACCGACTGCGGTGAGCACTTTTTTTTAGACCGACTATTTTTTTGCCATGGGGTGAAAAACATTTTTTTCAAACATGATAAGTCGACAAGGTTATTTTATACTAATTTATACTATTTTATACACCCCCCCCCCCCCCACATTTACGCCCCTGGAATTAACGTTGCCAGAAGGGTGTGCTCCGAGAACATTTCCTTAAAATAGACCCTGTTAGAGCACTCTGCCACTCAAATTTGAAAAAAAAAAAATTCATAAGTATCATCTATACACGTCAGCAGGGGCGGATCCAGGAATTTTTGCAGGAGGGGGTTTGCCAGGTTCCTGTTAAGAAAATTTGCCAGTTGACAATGTATGATATGATATCGTCTCCAAATTCCTCAGGCAAACATACACACTGAGTTTTGTAAAGAGAGAAATCCAACACCCCGTTTGACGTCAATTTTTATTTTGAATTAATAGGATCACACAGTGATTCTATTTCATTGAGGCAAAGCATTAAAGATACATTATGTAAGATTTAGATAAAGAGCTAACCATTCCTGCTATAATATTTCAAAAATAGATAATGTAAAATGAATAAATTGAAAATCACATTCCAATTACTCTATTGCGAGCGAAGATATTAGCCTTTGAGGGTTTGACAAGACGTGTGCAATAATTGCAACCACCGTACTGGTTGTTCAAAGCTAAGTCTCGCTCCTCTATTTTTAAATTAAATTAAAATATGGCTGAACCTGAACCATTCTAATCTTTTAAATATCGGAGAAATCCGAAACCATTGACAGTTGATTATGGCCTGGATCAGTTAAATAATGTCTAATTAATAATTTAGAAAACATTTCAAGCCTAAAGAAAGACCTGCAATAGGCATATTTAGCTCTTGCATAATGTATGTTTAATTGTGATATCACATAATTATGTCTATATTATTATCTCGCTCTTTGAATGAATGCCCAACCCATCCCACCGTCTGATGATAAAGGATAAAGCACACGACCGTGGCACTTTTCTCATAAAAATGTTGTTTTATAATTCTTTTATGTAGCTGAGCAGGGAGGGTGGGGGAGAGTCCAGGGGAGGGTGGGGGCTCTCCCCCTCTGGATCAGCCCCTGTTCAGTCTTAACATACATATGTACTTGCAGTGTGTGTTAAACCGCGATGCCGTTTCTTTAAGCGTCGTTTAATTGATTGTGTTCGGGTTCCTTATAGTTACAAATACAGATATTGGCTTTCAATTAACTATTACTCTTCTGGACAGTTATGTGAATACAAATTTATTTGTAATTGTATGAGTTTGTGGATTCAGACTTATAATACATCTAGATGTGTTAAAACAAATAGTTTACACTACTTGAAACCATTAAAGGGGAAATTGATAATTAGGGTTGTGGTCTCTGTCATCCAGCCTTACAGACCTCCGCGCTATGGAGATTCACTTTCACTGACTGGATGACAGTGACTATCAGAGTAGTAATTATGAGAGTAATTAACAATTAGAAATGGTCGCGTGATTAATTGATCATTAATATGTTGAAAGAAAAGTGATCAGGTGATTTGAAGCGTGTCAGCTTGGTCTGTGTGAGATATAACGTCCGCTTCCATACAAGGTGTTATCTCTAATGTGAAGTCTAGCTGTCAGTCTTGATTAAACCTTGCCAGTCGACTGACTGATCTGTCATCATATTACTTCGCGTGAACAGTCACAGCCAAGTTGTCTGTCTCTTCTACCAATATTTCAAGTGGTATTTAAACCCGGTTGCGGAATTTTATGTCATCATTTGCTGTATTTACATCTAGTAATTGTAGTAATAGAAAGATTGTGCCGCTTTTTGTCAGCAAACAGTCGAGAAAAGCCACCATAATTACTGGATTTTATCATTTTACCGTAAATTAAAAAATGGACGGATTTTCTTCGATGTCACCTTTGTTATCCAAATGTGAAAAATTTGATTATTCTGATTCTGAAGGTAATTTTAAAACTTGGTGAAAATTGGTAACTTTTATGCTCATTTAAATTAAAAGTAGGGTTCACGTTTCAAGATCGTAAAATATTTGCCTTTAATAGTATTTGTTTTGAAATATTGAGTTTGGGCCTAATGCTTTCAACGAGGACAGATTGTCATCCTACACAACGTTTAAAACACCCAAAGAAATCGACAATTTTAATTTTGCCGCAAATCTTCTATCCACGGCGAAAGCGTCTAGTCTTTCAAATGGGACGAAAAAATGTGGCCCACCCATGTTCTTGGCTTTGTTTACGTAAAAGAAACTTTGGCAGATTTAAAAAAATGTGTCTTTAAACCCCATGTTATTTCATTTTTGTTGTGTTTATAGATTCTGTGACATCATCAGGTTATGACTCGGCAGTTTTAAGTGTTGGAAATTGGAGTGATTCCGAAATCGAGTCCGAAGATGAAGAAGCTTTTAACTCCGATGATATGGCGGATATGATGATTTTTGAAAACACCAAGCCTATAACTAATACAATGGAGTACATACTATCAATGCCATCATTATGTGATGTTGTTTTTATGGTGGGAGAGGATGAGTCCATAATACGAGGACTAAAAGCCGTACTTGCTTCAAGGAACAGGTGATTACTTTTTTTTACTACATAATATACCCCCACCCCCAGCCACAACCCCAAAATAAACATTTTACCATTGGTACACGAATCGTGTACCATAATGCGTGGCAACGCCATTTGTAATAAGGGACTCGAAGAACGAGGCTTGACATATTCCACAAGTTATGCCAAACCATGACGCCATATTCTTATCTGGAGAGCATGTGCATCGGTGTAGACTGGAATAACCAGACGTTAGAGAATGCCATTCGGTTGAGACTTCTGGTGTATTTCGTCGAACATAACTGATTTGAAATTAGAGAGTAAAACGGAAAAGAATTGAGTGTAAATCAGTTTGTTTACATTCATATTACATTTTTGTATACCTTGCGACCCTGGTCATATCTGTCAATTTCTAGGTCCCAAATATTAGCGATTTAGCTCCTTTAAGTTATATGGCCATTTGAGATTTACATTGATTTATCGATGTCGACTATTGGTATATGTGAACTGATCTGGCTTCTTGTTCCTTTGGATTTAATTGAATAATTGGATCACATTTTGTTTGCGTATTTGTTCACTTCTAAGCGTCTTATTAAAGGGAGATAAATAACAAAGATAACGGCATCCATTTAAGAAACTTTGTACCGACGGTTAATTTAAAGTGCATCCCAAACTTAGGCTGCCTGTCTACAGCTAGCTCCGCCTGAGAACATACTCTCGAAGTATGACGTAGAAGGATCGCTGCGTGCAGTATGCTTAAAGTGTTCTTCGTTGAATAGTTGTGTTGATATTTAATTGATCTTTTTCCTAGAATATTTTACGACATGTTGATGAAGAAGGACGAGATTGAATCGCAAGAGACCGCTGAATCGACGAAAAGATCCAAAACATCCCGATTTCTCAAATTTAAAAAGAAGTCCCGAAAATCCCACCAGGATATTGAGAAGAAACTAACTGTGGTGATAAAGGATTACGATTTTAATGTTTTCAGCAGATTGATATCGTTTTTACATCTTGGTCAAGTTTCTGTTACACCAGACACAGTTGTAGGTAAGTATTACAGAAGTGAAATTAAATAGGGTTTGACTGCGTCCATATGACATAATCTCGACTTCTCGCCACAAGAAATCGAGGGCGAGAAGTCGAGGGAGCGAGAGTGCGAGATTATGAAATTACCGCAATAGGCTTCCATAGTTTAACGCCCTACTTATCCGCACCAATTGGGCTAATGAAGACGTGCGTAAGTCATACAGTGCGATATGATGGAAATCGTGCCTGGACAGCGGCGCTAAGGACTAGACTACTCTTATATCGAATTCCAACTGCTGTTTACATGTTTTTTGTCCGACCCAACCGACAAGACACTGTTTCCTGTTAGGCCCTCCGTCCTGCGCCACTAGCAAGGAGCACTCGGCAAACCTCGACAGATTCTATTCATCTAATCTCGGCTGTATGACGAATTCCGCCATATTGGAACTATTTTAAAGGTCCCGGATGAAAAATGGCTGCGCCCATGGAGATTTCTGTGTAGAGTGTATTATATCAACAAACGTCAAGTTTGGCATTGGGTTTGGGGAATTACCAGGGAATTATATCAAACCAGCAGCCTTGAGACAATATCTCTGCTCGTTTAGTTATATACACTCGACAAAAGACGCCTTTTTGGGACTTTTTTGTAAAAGCGGCACGTTTTCCTGTTAAAGTAAACCGGTAGCCGCATCGCAAATGTATGGGCGTAGGTACATATCAATTACTATCATACAGCCGAGGTTAGATGTAGGGTACCGGAATCTGCCGAGGTTTGCCGAGTGTAGCAAGGAGAGGCTTCGCCGGAAAGAACAGATGAACTTTCTATTCCAAAACCGGAAGCAAATTCGAGACCTTCTGGTCAGCGAGTCTGCGACTTATTCACTGAGCCACCGCGGTTCCCTGCATTTAGTATTTACAAAGATATGATGTCAACAATTATCATCTACTACAGACGAATGTCAACACACTAGTTATTTTATTAATTATTTTATTATACTTTTTTTTGTAGGTTTGATGTGTGCTGCAGATGAATTTAATATACCAGAACTTCAGAAGGCATGTTGGGATTTCTGTTTTCGTTGTCTGGATAACGGTAATATAGCCACCATCGTCCAGTCGTCACAATTTTACAGAGGAAGACTGGCCGCTGACGATCTCATGTTTAAGGTAAGACTTTGGAAATGTCGGTTTATTGTGGGAAATGAAATGAAAGGGGGTTGGAATAAATAAAAACAAAACATGTCAAAACATGCTATACGTCAACTTCCGATTGATAAACGATATATAGTTTAGCGACCTTTTTTTCTGCACCAATCAGAATTTTTGTGAAGGTGGACATACGCCATGAAGTGTGCTATAGGGAAAATGTTGCCTGACAACGACGTGTACCCCTACCTACTCTTCGTTCGCCGAATTCCAACTGTCGGGGGTTATTTTACGTGCACGCCTATGTGTACACGGGACGTCAGTTTACGCCCAATCCGAACAACCAGACACTGCACTTACCAGACTCTCCGTACATCACTGCTGACACGTGGAAGCCGCACAGGATTATCATGAGAGTTCCTCAGCCAGCATTAGGAGCAAACCCGAGACCTCCTGGTCTTACTTCCTGAGTCACCGTGACTCACTCTATCAGATTGGCCAGTAGACAACAGGGGTACATATATACATGTATATATATATATATAGTTAGACAGAATTCTTATGCATTGCATACGTAAATTTAGAATTATTTATGTTATACTTTCAGTTAGTTGGTATGATGGGAGGACCAAAGACTACAAGTGTGTGAAGTGAAGCATTGAAGATTTAGGATAAAGCTTACACCGTGGATGAACGTAAGACCACGTGGAAATCCGTCACAATGATTCTATATTTTTGAAACAGACTGTTTTACATAAAAGGATATGGTGGGTTTTCTGTCGTTACACAATAAGCAAGGAAAAGTATAATTGTGTGCGAAGCACGCGTCTTTTAAGGTATAGACTTAAAGGGAGGCAACTCTATCTCCTCTCGGACGCTGACGTGCTTTGAAAAGCGATGTTTAATGAAGAACCGAGACTGCATGAGTATGGAATACGGACAAAAATGTTTAATCTTCATTTACTTGTATAAACAATATTTTATTTACCCCCACGTTCCCTCACCCCCACCCCAGATGTTATCGTATGTAGATGATGTAAAATGGTGTGCATATATAGTGCTATTATTGTATGTAAATAATGTATTTAGACAAAGAGCATCATTTGTGCTTTTTGAGATCAATAATGTTATTATTTGTGTTATAAATTAAAGAATTTAAAATTATTCAGCCTTTCTGTATGTTGTTTTAATACACCCATCTGTTAATGTGGTTGGATATTGCCCTTGCCCACATATGTCAGTCCATATCGGTGAGCAAGGGGCTGGCTCATTAACCAGGCTGATCCGGGTTAGATCCCGCCGTTAGCAGAGACAGTTTCCCCTTATTAGCAGTGCAGGAAGTGATGCTTGGTCAACATACAGTGACTAGTCGTTCGGGTGGGACGAGCAGACCTGGTCGCGGGCACGTAATAAAGAGTTGTCAGAAACCCCTATGTCCGGGCAAAGTTTTCTCATAGCACACCGCATGGCGTATTGTCGCCTAATGCCTAGTATCTCAAAATGTCTGCCCCAACTGCCGATTCGCCATTTTGGACAATCACATGATCGACGTAATTTCAAGCAGAGTGGTGTACCCGTCTGGGTTGTGCAGAAAAGTAGGACGTTAAACCTCATTTGATTATACGAATTAGATTGTATTTGCGACCAGTTTCAATTTACGTTTTGTTCAGGGGTTGCCAAGCAGCTTAACGGGAAAGCCCGTCTAAAATGGGTTACACTGACCACTTACAATTATTGATTGGGGTTGAATTTGATAATATTCACAATGATTTCATTGGTGACGGTGATGATGCGTCGAATATACAGTCGCATTTTGTAAACTACTTTATTTCGATATGACAATGAAATACACAAAAACACTTAATATACATGCCGAAGAACAATTACTCGTGCACATTCATACCGTTTAACTATACATGGAAACTTAAAGAAACCTAAAACAATGTTAGGTTTTATCTGAAAGCGATCCATTGTGTCAATTATATTCTTACAACTTAAATAACATTAACAGAAAACAGTTTTTATTGGAAACAATCACAGGTTTATTATATAAGCACGGAGTTTTGACAAGTACCCCAATTGTGCTTAACACCAATCTTCAACCAGCGGCTGCCAGGCAGGATACGCCCACATTTTCGAGAGATGGATAGAGAGCAAGCTAAAAAAAAAAGTGATTTTTCCTTCAATCAAGGGCCATAATTCGGGAAATTACAATTCGATATGCGCAAATATCGCAAGGAACCAAGATCTTTGGGTTATAAACTTACATTTCAAGTTTCAACAAAATCGGATAAAAATTGTGACCTCCATAGGATCCACAACCTTGATATACCATATTATTACGCTATTTGAGAACGAAGGGCGGCCATTTTGTCTGTCAGTTTTCAGCCGATTTTCACGAAATTCGAACTCAGCCGTCCTTATGTTGTAACGGTGATATAATAATACGTTTTTTAAATCGGATAAAAAATTATGACCTCTATAGGGTCCACAAGCTAAAACGTGATTTTTCGTACAATCAGGGGCCATAATCCATCAAGTTACAGTCCGATACATGCTAATATCGAAAGGAACCGAGATCTTAGGGTGATAAACCTATATTTCAAGTTTCATTGAAATCGGATAAAAATTGTGACCTGTAGACTGTTCACAAACAATTGTGGGCGGACGGACGGACAGGGGCGACGACAAAATAGGACGTTAAATCCCATTTCATTTCATTTTATTCCTCTCTCACTAGGATAACAAAGATTTCCAACCTGACAATGTCAATGGACACCACACAGAAAACACCGTGTCTTAAATATTTTATTAAGGGAAGCGAGTCGCTGTCTTAAATCAACACTGATGTTGTTATCCAACATTTAAGACAAAATGAACATTTTAAAATTGGCACACAAATCGCGTGCCAGCATGCTTTCGAACGCCATTTATAATGAAGCGACTCGATGAACGAGGCGAAACATATCCCAAAGGAGCATACTGCCGATATAGACTGGAGTAACCAGCCGCCAAAGACTACCATTAAATTTGGACTCTTTGCATATTTCGCGGAACATAACTGATTAGAAATTACAGTAAAACAGAAGCATTGAATGTAAATCAGTTTATATACATGTACATGCACATTCATTTTACATTATTAAATGCCTTGCGACCCATTTGTGTCCATTTCTAGTTGCCAAAGAAAAGAGATTTAGCTCCTTTAAGACACGCTAAAATGAAAGATATTTATGTAAGAGCCAAATCTTCCTATTGTAGGTGTTTCTATTGACTTCAAATGTTATATAAACTATTATTTAGACTTTTATTAACGTGACAAGCAAACAATCAACTCTCAAGACCATGGGTGACCGAGAATTAAATGGATTTGATTGAACCCATGTGATATTTAAAAAATTAACGATGAAACGGGTAATCGAGACTGGGTCTCGGTTGTCAAGTACCGTTGCTACAAACAGTTATAAGTTCACCCATAATGAAGTAATTTGGCTGAGATTTTCGATATATTCATTTTCCATTATCTAGTTTTCACCTATTATAGCAAACACATCTTACACTTTACCTAAATCTTACATAATGACGTTTAACAGAGTTGACCTTTGTTCCATTCTTTTCTTGTGAGCAGAATATTGTTTAAAGTTTGTATTAAAAATATAATTCTGAAATTCGACGTATTTTGACTTCGACTGTGTCCTCGAGGCTGTCGCTAGCATATTTAGTTGTGCCGTACCCATGAACTGTTTGTTCTATGTTGTTCTGGGCTACTAGAGTGCATTACTGTCATCAGACAGACTGAACACCAAAAAAGCACATTACTAGATGGCGTCGAATATTCATCTCTTGGTAATTTTTTTCCTTTTAATTTCGGGGGATGAAACGAACTTTGTACGACTGGGGGGTGTAAGTTAAACCAGGATTGCCTTTAAGGGGAGGCAACTCGCCACTTGTTGGTGGACATATTTTAAAGTTCTGCACCAGGGTTGTGATAAACAAATAAAGTTCCATTTTGGCCAAATTTTTACCCAAACAAGCTCTTCTACCTGAAATTAGAATTTAAAAGTTTAAAATACGAAGAAGTGATTGTGGTTTGGTTTACGAATACAAATTTTAACAAAATAACAAAATACATGTACTACAAAGGCATGCTTCAAGTATTCATATAGCCTAATGCACACCGGCGATTTCTTAATCGGCCCTGTGCGCGTCATTGCGACGGAAACCAACATGTGGCATCGAAAAACAGTTCCGGATAAATCATTAGGCAAATAAGGCACTTGCCTTAGGGTCAGCCAAAAATAAGATGTAATTTAATCTAGCTACCGTAATCTTATAGTAATTACAGTGCTGTCAAAAATATTGGTTCTGAATCTTCTTTTTGATTAAATTTTTCGTTTCCTGGGTGAACCCACAAAATGCCGTAGGGCCAGTAGTGCCTTAATCCGGAAACAATCTCTTGTGAGGCAATTCTTTTGGTTGACCAATCAGCGCATGCTAAAATACCATATGTGGTCTGACAAAAAAGCGCGCCCCCCTTTTTTTGTAAAATATTTATTCAAATTAAAAGTCTTATAACAAAGTTAAATGAGTAGTATAGTATTACTAAACAAATTTAACATTTGATGTACATTATTTCCATTCATTGAAAATGTTGACGACAATTCCTGAACTGTCGCCAACAAACTGCTAGTACTCTTTCACACGTCGCCTTGATTTTGACAGCAATTTGCCTAACAATTGATAATTAATGCTTCATCAATGACAAAACCAATCGCCCATGTGGATTAGGTTTAAGTACTCCCTACTTCCCATCCAGCATCAGTCAAGTGCATATGCCCCGAAATGGGGGAACCCCTTTGGATAGTTAATGTTCGGTATTAAAACACCTTGTTATGAATGAAAGTTAACATAATTGCGCCAACATGTTCAACCCTTTCTCATAAACAAATTGAAGTGTATGTAGCCTTGGGACAATTCTTTTGTTTGACCAAACAGCGCAAGTTTAAATATCACGTGGTCCTTCAAAACTAAATACAGTTAGCCTAAATTGTATAGTGGTTCTGAATGCTTCGGGAACTGTTAATTTATCATTGTTGCGCATGATCATACATTGGAAATTGGTACTGCTTGGATACAAATGCTGCATTAGACAGTTTCAATACAGAAAGCATGGAATTGCTTCGGAACTGTTAATGTGTCATTGTTGGGCATTATTATAAATCTGACATATAGGTACTCCTGTGTAGTTAATTTACATAGCTTGTATTTTCTTACCTATAAAGAAAGGAATAAATTCGTCTGGTTTGTTTACTTTTCCATCGGAATCAAGGAATCGTTCTGGTCGGAATTCTTCTGGATCCTTCCAGATCTCCGGATCTTTGAGCACGGAATGGAGATTGGGTATAACAATTGTCCCTTTTGGTATAAAATAATCTTTGAAACCAGTAGATTCTGACGTGGCATGAGGAACTGAAAATGGAGCAATATCCGCCATTCTCTGTATTTCTAAAATGACGCATCTGGTGTAGATTAATTTTGGTTTTACCGCCATATCTGGAGATCGATCTTGACCTAAGTGGTTAGTCATTTCCTTGCACATGAGTTCCTGTATGTGAGGATGTCGTACAAGAAAGATTAGAGCCCATCGTAAAGTTGTAGCCGTGGTTTCTGTTCCGCCCACAAATAAATCACCAATAACTTTCACTAACTGATCATCTGTAAAATAGTTTAATTAATGGTAAAATTAATCTTCATTTGGATTCACATAAACCTTGTGACACTGCATGTATAAATAATAAGCGGAGAGACTCCTGATTAGATCCATAACAACCACCGAACACTGCGAGGATTATGCTAACACCGCAGCACAAGAATTTAAGTGCTCATTTTAGTGAATTGACACTATTATCTTGAGCATTGTTATGGAAATTTCCTTCTTGCCATGTCTTTCGGGTATCTGGCGATCGAGCTGCGGCGTCAGTTTGCCTAAATAAGGAGTTAGAGTAATTAACGGAAAAAAATAAAGAGGTTTTATCATTTCATTAAGCTGTACAATATATACAGATTCGATGATAATATTTGTCATCTGCAAAATCCCAACCAAGCCTCTGCAAAGTTATCATGGACAGGATCATCACAAATAGCTGGAATGCAATATGTTTGTATTGCTCCGACTACTGTAAATAACGTGTATATACATATAAGTATTAAAAAGATTGGGTAACAAAAGTGCCCTGCAGGTTCAATATCAGATTGTAGTATTTTCTAACAAATGGATACCCGAAATATATTATAACAGTAGGAGATTGTTCAAGATCAATAGAATTGTGGCTAAAGAAATAACAGTGCCCGCCGAGACCTAGATGCGGATGTAAGCTAGAGCTGTTTGAAATCTGATGTCTGTAATAAAACTATGTGCGAGGTAGTCGCCTATGGGTTTTTGTTCTTGATAGCCTCCGCCGTGTTTTATGTGGAAGTACAAATACCTAATATAGTTATGTGTGTAGAGTCATAAAAAAAATCATATAAATGAAATAGGGTTTATCGTCCTAATTATCAGCACCAACCGGGATAATGAAGACGGGTATATACCGTGCAGTGTGCTATGAAGGACAGCTTTACCGGAAGTCCATCTGTCATGGGTTGATTTACGTGTACTCTTCGGTGTATTGTCCCATCCGAACGACTAGACAGTGTTCCTTACATGACCCCCCGTTAACTCCACTCGACACAAACTAGGTCATTTCGGGACTAACACATGGTTCAATTTTATTTCAATAATTCGCTTGAGCGTAGGGGTCTTTATGAGGAAACCAGAGGACCCGGAGAAAACCCACTAGGTTGGACAGGAGACCCTACTCCGTGTCACATACAACCGGGGAATCGAAACCACGCCAGCTGACTCAATGACAGACCTTATGATACAGCCACCCAACACCCCTGTAACGGGGATAGAACAAAGTGTTTCAACTTACAGTTAAACGTTGTCTGTGTATCTGAACGCCGTCTGTGGTCTAATTCCAGCAAATAAGCGTCTATAAAATCCCTCACTTTATTAGGATTAAAACTTTGTCTATGAAGCTCCACCGTATCCCTAATAAACCCTTGAACAAATTCTACATTCTCCAATACACGATCAAACTTAAACAAATCTCCAGGCAGATACTGAAGAATCGGGAAAAAGTTTAGCAGGGATGTACCACCCACCATTTTGAGATTCTCGTCAAATATGTCTAAAAATTTGGTGAAAAGTGGATCGTTATATTCAAATCGATCACCAAAAACGATTGAGCAAATTATGTTAGACACAGCCGTCTGGATAATCTTCTGTGGATTCACGTCTTCACCATTTTTTTCATCCAGCATTTTCAGGAAACAAAACACTTCTTCCTGTATCTTCGCTTCGAAGGACGTTTTGCCAAACCCCAATTGTCTGAGAGCGGAAACAGCAAACTTTCTTTGTTCCCACCAGACATCACCGGAAGTATTCACAATTCCTGAAATATAGAACAGAGTTATAAATAAACGATGTTTTTGTCGGTTTGATAACTATATAAATACACATTAATTTTTTTTTAATGAAATGGGGTTTAACGTCCTATTGTTTTGCGCTGACCGGGTAATGAAGACGGGCATACGCCATACAGTGTGCCAAGGGATCTTTTATGTGCACAGCAATGTATACACGGGACACTATGTCCTACACCTATACATGTATATCAAATTTCAACTGCCAAGGGATCTTTTATGTGCACAGCAATGTATACACGGGACCTCGGTTTTTTGTTCACCTCGAGCGACTAGACAGTGCTCCTTGTCAGGCCCCCCGTCCTGTAACACTGACAAGGGCAAAAGCACACCGCAAAATCCCAATGAGCTTCCTCGTCCAATGCAGAGATCGAACTGGCCCTTTAGCAGCCTTTGTGTCTACTCCACGTCGAATTCCAACACTGTAAAGGGTTATTTTAGGCGTGGAACTCCACTGGACCCCATGCCACCCGATTCACATAATTTACCAAGGGAAACCAGGTCTGATAATCCGGAGGAATTTTCTCGGTTAACACCGGGACATCCTATTAGTGAGCCAACGTTTTATGTAAAGGGGCATTAGGTAAGATTAGATAAAGCACTGACAGTTCTGGCCATACAGTTAAAAATACATAAGGAAAACAGAATATGGTGAAAGTTTCAGTCAAATTTCTTCACTCTGAATCGATATATTAATGATTGAATTTTAGGTTAACCTCGATCACCATTATTACCATTTGTACGATAATAAACAGTCTCGATTATCTATTTTTACGTTAAATCATCCATCACAAACCGTATTCACATCCACGAAATATCGCAGGCTACCGGTGGCATCGAGGGTTGATTATGGTCTAATTAATAATTTAGATAACATTTAAGGCCTAAAGAAAGACCTACAATAGGCAGATTTAGCTCTTGCATAATGTATGTTTAATGAGCCACCATGGCTCACAGTTATCTACATGAAACAGTTAACACGAGGTAGAACAATTCCTATTTATGTTTAAATCACATATGTCTCTGATTGTTGTCGTCTTTTACTAGTTAATCTATATGGGCCCTTAAGTGAATGGTGCCTGCTCAGTAATTGGTGATGATCGAGAAAGTACCTTGGTTTCCCCTGGATAGTGGTACAGGATGGTGGACGACAACCAATGTACTCATTGGCGTGTACGTAATAGCACCCGACTAGATTTTATTACATACTTCGAGAAGGTATTTGTTGAGTAATAAAACCTTCTAGTAGTTTATCGAGGGCTGGCCGTCCTTACCGGAAACGCCACCGTTCGGGGACAAAATTCCCCTAAAGAACACTGCATGTCGTATGCACATTGTACATCTTAATTAACCCGGTTTGTGAAGGCAAGAGTAAGTCGATTAACCCCAAAGTCCATTCAAAGAAACCACTTGATATATTATTCTTATAGCTTCATAGATCAAACGATTCTCATGACGTCATTTTGTCATCTATCATCACGTGCCATTTCAAGTACTTCCGTTCAAGTACTACCGGTTTAATTTCCGTTCCTTTTCGGTGTCATTCATTCACAGATGAGTCAGTTAATTTTTTTTTAAAGAATCACACTTCATCTCAGAGAAATACCGGAAGAAAAGTTTCCTGTACAAATTGGGGATTAGATCTATTTCATGGGGCCAACTTCGAGTTTGTCAAAGTTCAAGAGATGTTAAGTTCAGGGCTATAGCGCTAATCCCAACCCTCAATTTTTGTCAAGGTCGTTGAGATGTAAATAAGACTAGGGAACGTGATTGTTGGCAAGATTGTAGGTTAGGGTTAGGGTAAGCATTAGGGCTAGGTCCAGGGTAGGGATTAGGGTTGGGATTAGCGCTAGCCCTGTTTACATCTCGTGACCTATGACGAAAAATTGAGCTGGCCTTATCATTTGGCACCAACTCTTCTGGATCCTGGTAAAGGCAAGTAAAACGAAATTTTGAACAATAAAAAACGAAATGAAATAAGATCTGTGATTTAATCAGATGGCCATTCCTTAAGACTACCAGTATGTTGGTAGTCGATGATAAGTAGGTGGGATTCCAATTGCCAAGGGTTCATTTACTTGTACCCCATCGTGTACAATTAATCCAACAAGCAGCCTCCTTATATTTGCATCGGTCTACGTTCTACTGCGCGTAGACGTATTAAACAATGGTAGGAAACCGGAGGATCGGGGGAAAACTCACGAGGTTGGACAGGCGTCCATACCCCTTGACAGTTACAAGATAACATTGGATTACAAAAAAAGCCACCTTTATGGTCATTTCTAAGGAAAGCAATCCCTGGCTTGTTACGTAATAGCACGACGTTCCGACAAGTAATTTCTTATCACTTTCAATCACAAAATAAATACCACCCATACTCAAATCTGACCTTTAATCAAGGAGATCGAGTAATACTTCCGGAAACTTGATTCAGTCGAAGGCAGACATGAATCAAATGATATTGTGATGAACAATGACTGATAAAAAAACAAAAGAAACGAGCCAATCCTTTCGATACGCAATCCCTGACAATTTGTCCGATTTCCTTTTAATACCATTCAGATATAATTAACGTAGTTCATTATGTAGGTCACAGTTTGACTCCCCAATATTAAATACATCCGTGTAGAGACATTATTTCTGACGAGCTCCTCGTGTGAGCGAAAAATGATATTAAACCAGTGTTGAAATCAGTTTGTGTCGTTATACCTTCTATCGTTTCATCATTTAACGTAAAACAAAGTAGTACACTGATATCATAATGACACTTTCTGCGGTTTCACGTATAGTCTTATGGCGATAACATTTTGACTGGGCAGCGGCGTTTCGGACTACTTTCATTTCAATTCCGGCTGCTGTAAACCAGAAATGTATTAATGACTTTTGCACACACATTTAAATAAAACATGGGTCCATTTTCCTATATACCTTCACAAATATCCCCGCAACCGCCCGAAAATGTTCCAGGTAAGTTAAGGTTCAATGTTCTTTACCTTACAACTATTCCTGACAACCGGCCTGAAATTTTTGACCGATTCCCTAATGACATTAGTTATTATGCAGGTTAATAAATTTGACTAAAATCATAGTTTTCCAAACCCCCACTTAGTGACGTACTGACGGTGGTGGGATGAGGGCTGGCGAAAATTCGGGCAACATGCACTCAGCAAACCTCGCCAGATTCCGTTACTCTACATTATAGCCTCGGCTGTATGTACCTACGCCTATAAAATTGCGATGCGGCACCGGTTTACTTTTTAGAAGAACTTGCAGCTTTTAAAAAGAAGTTATCAAAATTGCGTCGTTCGAAGCGTGTGTAGAATTGTTAGTGCAAAGTTGACCTTGTTTGAAGGAAATCGGATAAACTTAAAAGAAAAACAGCTTCAGACTTTGAAATATTTATATGATAAAACATTCTTCAAAGGCGTCGTCATGGGCAACGCCGTTGGTAATCCGGGAACTTGAAAGTAGTTCCAATGGCGGACTTCGTCATACAGCTGAGGCTAGATGTAGGGTACTGAAATCTGCTGAGGTTTGCCGAGTGGGGCAAGATGGTCACAGAACTTCGGATAATTCTTTTGGATTAGTGAGTCAAATATCCTAATCCATGTCACTAATATTATTTTCAATTTTACGAAAATCTATGAAAATTATTTTTTAGTATATTTGGTAATATTCGGGCAAAAAAAGGAGAACTTTAAGTACTCGAAACCGTGCCAATGAGCAACCCGCCCCTCACCTCTACAAAATAAAGATCGCATGACTATGCGGCCACAAAACTCCACCCCGCGGTATCTACGATTATATTTAACATCCCCTACCCCGCCCTGGTAATCTGTTGCATCAAAAGGATGCTGCGTACGTGATTTATTGTTAACGGATGCTGATATTCCCAGATAAATTAAACATTACCAAGAACTCCTGGAGTGATGCCATGCCGTGTCAATCTCCGGGTTCAAAACACCCAAAAAACCTAAACAATATTATCGTAATCTGAAACATTAATGTATTTTAATTTTTATGACAGATTGTTTTGCACTGAAAAATACACACACATTATTTTATATCATTAATTATGGTTAAAGGAGCTAAATCGCTAATATTTGGGACCTAGAAATTGACAAAAATGGGTCGCAACGCATATAATAATGTCATATGAATGTATATAAACTGATTTACATTCAATCGTTTCTGTTTTTACTGTAATTTCTAATCAGTTATGATCGGCGAAATACGCCAGAAGTCTCATGTGAATGGCAATCTTTAGCGTCTGTTTTTTCCAGTCTACACCGAGGGTATTTATTGCGCATGCTCCCCAGATAAGAATATAGCGTCACCATTTGGCATGACTTGTGGAATATGTCTAGCCATGTTCTTTGAGTCCCCTGTTAAAAATGGCGCTGAAACGCATTATGGTACACGATTCGTGTACCAATGGTAAAATGTTTATTTTGTCTTGAATATTTTGTGTTGATTTGAATTGACAAATCATTCGTGTTTTCAATGTCGAATATATTTGACGATATTGAGTCAGAGACTTAGCTACTTTAAATTGATGCATAACTAAATTGTAGAGTTATTAAAATGCTTAGGAGACTTTGTAATTTATGTTATTGTAACTATATCTTTGTGTACCTATTCTTATGTTTGTTTGTTTTATGTACATGGTATTATTCGTTTAAGTCTTTTTGATGCAATACAGTATAGTATACAATCTTTTTCAAATGGTGCCACTTTTGACAACTTCCGTCTTTGACTCCAGCCACAGCAGTGGGTGAATGTAAAGACTTCATCTGGGCAGATTACATACAGCTTAAAGGGGCCTTATGGAAGAGCTGACAGTTCTCACTATAATAGTTACAAACCAGATAATGGAAAGGAAATATGCTGAAAATTTCAATCAAATTGCTCCACCCTAAACTGGGATCTAGCGATTGAATTTTAGGCCTAGTCTCGATTATCATTACTA